ATGACAGTGTTGTTGCCTGTAAGTACAATATTGAAGAGCGGATCTCTAGAGCTTACTCATCTTGTTAACTGAAGCTTTATGTCCACAGACTAGTAACTCCCCATTTCTCCCTGCCTTCAGCCCCAAGCAACCACCATTCCACATTTTGATTCTATAAATTTGACTATTTTAGATACCTTATAAATGGAATCATGAAGAATTTGTTTCTCCGTCACCTATCAAGAAAGTGAAAAGGCAACCAGTGGAATGGGAGAAAATATTATAAACCACATATCTGGTAAGAAATTAATCTTAAAAATATATGAGAATTCTGTAACTTAACAGGAAAATAACTAATTACCTAATTTAAAAATGGGCTAAGGACTTAAAAATACATTTCTCCAAAGAAGACATACAAATAGCCAACAGGTATATGCAAAACGCTCAATGGCACTGGTCATCAGGAAAATGCAAATCAAGACCATAATGAAATATTACCTGTAAGGATGGCTAATATGAAAAAAACAAAAAACAACAATGCTGGTGACTGTTAGTGGGAATGCAGAATAGCACAGTTGCTATGGAAAAAAGTATGGAGGGTCCTCGAAAAACTTAAAAATGATCCAGCAATCTCACTGCTGGGTATCTATGAAAAAGGACTGAAATCAGTGTCTTAAAGATACCACCCACTCATGTTCATTGCAGCATTATCCATAATAGCTGAGACATGGAAACAACCCAAATGTACATCAAGAGACAAACAGATAAAGAACATGTGCTGTACACAAACAATGAAACACCATTCAGCCTTAAAAGAAGAAGGAAATTCTGCAATACATGACCACATGGGTGAACCCTTAGGATAAAGACGATCATTTAAAAGAAGAAACCACTCATTTACTACATAATGCCAGTGTGCTACTAGATAGGATAGAACATTAAGGAAACGTAAAGCCCCTGGTGGTTCTTGAGTACCTTTCTAATTTGTTTTTGTGTTCTAATCTCTAGCATGTTTTTTATTACATGATTACTACTTCCCTCCTGTAACATGGCAAAAATTTTCAAAATGACTTTGATGAATGAACAGACCAAGGGTATATACTCTGGGGCAGGATGATTGACATTGTCACATGCCTCATGGATCAGCTTTTTAAAATATCTCTTTATCATGTATTGTAAAGTGTAATGGAAACTGTTATTATCAAGATTTTCCTTGCTTTTTTCTCAGTTCAGTTCAATTCAGTTGCTCAGTTGTGTTTGACTTTTTGCAACCCCATGGACTGCAGCAAGCCAGGCTTCCCTGTCCATCACCAACTCCCGGAGTTTACTCAAACTCATGTCCAACCATGCCATTCAACCATCTCATCCTCTGTTGTCCCCTTCTCCTCCCGCCTTCAATTTTTCCCAGCATCAGGGTCCTTTCCAATAAGTCAGTTCTTCACATCAGGTGGCCAAAGTATTGGAGTTTCAGCTTCAGCATTAGTCCTTCCAATGAATATTCAGGACTGATTTCCTTTAGGATTGACTGGTTGGATCTCCTGCAATCCAAGAGACTTTCAAGAGTCTTTTGCAACACTCCAGTTCAAAAGCATCAATTCTTCGGCCCTCAGAAGCTTTGACTTCTCAGAATTTTTTTATTCTTTTTTTAATCTCTCTTTCCCGTCCTTCCTTTGTTTTTCTTTGTTGTGAGTACATATACACCCTTACCTTTGAAATTGTTGTTTTTGTCACTAAGTTGTGTCTCTTTTGTGACCTCATGGACTGTAGCCCACCAGGCTCCTCTGTCCATGGGATTTCCCAGGCAAGAATACTGGAGTGGGTTGCCATTCCCTTTCCAGGGGATCTTCCTAACCCAGGGATCAAAACCGTTTCTCCTACATTTCAGGCAGATTCTTTACCACTGAGTCACCAGGAAAGACTCTCCTTTGAAATAAGTATAATCAAATAAGGTAATGTTGAAATTATTTGCATTGTCTTTCCCCTTCATTCTTGTTATAAAACATTCCTGAATTTAAAAATATATATTAAATTTATGATTTTGCTCATAAGACTCCTAAAGGCTAATTACAGTAAAAAGCATAGTTTATTTACTTTGTTGGATCCCTGGGTTGGAAAGATCCCCTGGAGAAGGGAAAAGCTACCCACTCCAGTATTCTGGCCTGGAGAATTCCAGGGACTGTATAGTCCATGGAGTCTCAAAGAGTCGGACACGACTGAGCGACTTTCACTTCACTCACCTTGTTGGAATCATTTTATCTGTTAGAAAACAATGAGTATTTATCTTTCTCACTGCACTAATATACCATTTCATGCTCTGAAACTGCTAGCAATTTCCTTGAGCTGAGTCTCTTCTAGGGGTTCAGCTCTAACCTCAGGGCTCATCAGTTCAGTTCAGTCGCTCAGTCATGTCTGACTCTTTGCGACCCCTGAATCGCAGCACACCAGGCCTCCCTGTCCATCACCAACTCCTGGAGTTCACTCAAACCCATGTCCATTGAGTCGGTGATGCCATCCAGCAATCTCATCCTCTGTTGTCCCCTTCTCCTCCTGCCCCCAATCCCTCCCAGCATCAGGGTCTTTTCCAATGAGTCAACTCTTTACATGAGCTCATAGCACTGCCTAAATTGTGTCCCAATGCTGAGTCTCTGGAGGGGTAGGCTGGGAACAAAATGAAGCATCCCACAGTACTCCTGCTGACTTATTTAAAAAAACAAAAAAGTACAACATGAGCCTCTGACTATCTTACCTGGGGCAAACGGAGGACTATAGCCCAGGAGACAGCATTTCGGATAGCTCTGAGAAACTGCTGCAAAGATGCAGGGAGGAAGGTAAGCATAATGTGATTTTGGTGAAGGGAGAATACATGCAATCAAGCACATATTTTTTTGCAGAAAGTTTCTGCTAGTCACGTGGACCAGCTGTCACCAGGAAGGATTTTAGTACTTTTCTAGATATGAGGAGATAAAGAATTGGGCTCATAAAATCAGCTCCTGAAAATATCTTATCTGAGGACCTGCTTTGCCAGTTTTTCATGGAGCACAGAGTGCCTCATTTCTGCTCTCCACCCTGAACTCCTTTCAAGGGGTGTGAAAATCAGCAGTTACAGCAGCATATGATTTAATTCTTGTAGAGGTAGATGGCAAGTGCCCATGGAAAGTGCCAATTTGTAGCTGACACTCCCAAGGACCATGACAACAGTGTTTGATAACTGCATCCCACTGTTACAGATGATGGGAAACAAGGTTAATCTCCATTTGCTTCTTTTCCTGAAACCATGTAAGTTTCTTAAGTAAAAGATTTAAATTCAGGTGGTTGCTAAACTTGTCAGGTTGATCTGAATACAGACCACAATAAAAATAATGTCCCCACCCCCCCGCCCCCCTGCCCTGGACTATTATTTCTCAAAAATACTGCACATGTATTCCTCATATGAGCTAGCTGGTATGGATTATAGTTTAACTAAGCATCTGGGGTTTTCTAAATTTTTGCAAAGGTGAGTTTGGTTTTCTATTATAGTGTTGAAATTATTATAATAAGAGAAGAATTTCGGTAGGTGAGATGTATTGAATAATAACATCCAAGTACCAAGTCTTATGAAAATCACTCACCTTTATTTTACTAGTTGGTCAATGAAACTAGAAGAGATTCAAGGTAATGGAAGAGTTCCAAGCCTCTGTCCCTTGGTCCATTCTTTAAATGTTAGGCAATGTGGTCCTCTGACTTACATCCTCCTAGAGCAGTCCTGGAGAGCTGGGTCGTGCCATTAATAAAAACCACATGAAACACAGGATTTCCCTTGTTGCATTCTCTGGGCCTATTAAGGTCAGGCTGCCTGGAGGTGATCCATTCTGTCACCCAGCTGCTTTGAAAATTCAACATTCTCTTCTCTGATTGAGATCTACCCTCAAACAGATCTACCCAGGGCACTTAGGCTAAACTCAAAGTGGATCTTAAGTGCCGGTAAACACAAGACCAAGATGTTTGGGAGCTAGGTTTCTGAATGGCATTTTTTTTTTTCTCCCAGTCACAGCCCCATTACATGTTTAAACTTCTCTGGTCAGATTTAGGAACCATGGAAAGTACTAATTAAACCCTAAAACACCTCAAGAGATCGAAAACCAACTCAAAGATCCAGTTCCAGGGTAAAATGCTTTCTGTGTTTGGCTTACTAAGATTTTCACTTGCCTCTTCTCCCTCTTAGTTGAATTTTGCTGGCTCTACTGCTTGCTATTCCATATCTCAAGTGCATACCTTGTTGGCGGAGGCGGCAGCGGCTGCTGTTTGGCCCCCTGGGAAGTCCCATACCTGTCTGCACTTGCATCCAAATTAGGAAAATCCTCTTTCAAAAAAAAAAAATTCTAAAAAAAGTTGAGAAAGAACTAAAGCAACAAGAAACACAAATTTTAAATAATCACAAAAATGCAGAAGCAGAGACATTTCCGAAAGAAATTAAATTAGATGTCTACTGACAGAGGGAAGAACTATCAAGGCGATGGGGTGAATACAGAGTTTCTGAGGGTGAGAAAAATGTTTTTAACATTGTGAGTATAATTAATATCACTGAATTTAAAAATCACATTTAAAAATGGCTAAAATGGCAAATTTTGGTGTTACACATATTTTACAACAATTAAAAAAAAAAAGGGAACTATGTAACACAGGGAACTCAATGTTCTGTCATGACCTAAATGGGAAAGAAATCTAAAGAAGGGGGAATATATGTATACATATAACTGATTCTGTTTACAGCAGAAATTAACATGGTAAAGCAACTATACTCCAACAAAAAGGAAAAACCTCAACAATGTCATATAGTCAACTACTACTGAATTGCACATTTTAAATGAGTGAGTTGTATTGAATGTGACTATCTTAATAATTATAATAATCTTAATAATCTATCTTAATAAATCTATTTTGAAAAATGTCATGGAGGAGTATCAAGCCTGGAAAAGAAAGATCACAAAGTGTCACACTTCTAGTCTTTGAATTTTCAAGACTATGATTTAATTTGCTTCCTCTTATGTCCTTCCCTGGCTGATGTCCCATTTTATTCTACATTGAGAGGAAACTGAATGGCAAAACATTGCCTCTATTGCAATATGAAGCTTATTTGTTTTAGCACTGTAGTTTCTCAAAATCTTGCCTTTCCTTTTAATATTCAAAGAATCATGCTGATCAGTGGCAGGAGGTTCCTCTGATTCTTTAGTGAGATGGCATTTTGGATAACAATAGGAACTCAGTGAGCTGGAGTAAGAAAGCTGTCCCTGACTGATGGTGGTTTTGGCCAGATTATTCCAAATTTTGACAACAAGTAGAAATGAAAATAGATATTGACAATTGCCTTTGTTATTCATCATGGTGGAGTTATAATCCTTTTAGGAACTTTAAAAATGCTAACAATAAGCTAACTTCACCTTAAGTGACAAATAAGAATTGAATGATCTGCCAAAAAATGTTACAGTAATTATGACTCATGGATTCCACACCATGAAATCTCACATTTCTTCAATCACCATCTAGGCCTCAAATTCATTAAAGCCTATTAACATTTCTAAAATGGTTATTACCCATTTCAAAATTTTCATGCTAAATATTTATTTTATAACCAATTTCCTCAATTGCTTCTACCCTATTTTGGAAGACACTACAGTGCAATGCTGTAGATTGAGACAGACAACAAATTTATTTGTCATTTAATGTATATTTCAATTGTATTACCACCATTTCTAAACTTCCTAAAAAGGACTGTAACTGTGCCAGTGATATTTTTGTTTTTTATGCTGTTTGATTTTGTTCAGCTTTTGTTTCCTGTGCAGCTAAAAAGACAATAAGATTGATCAAAACTCAATATAATAAGAGATGGAAGTAGGGGAGTACCAACAGGGAGAAGAAAGCAGAGTCATTTTATAATTCATCAAGATCAATACTGCCACCTCAGTCTTTATAAAAAATAAAGCCATTTTTCACAGTGATGATAGAACACTTGAGTGTTTTAATTAGGGCTTTAAGGGAAATTATTAACAACAAAGTTTCCCTTAGGTGGGTTTTTTTTTTCAATTTTAATTTTTTCTTAAAATGACTAACGATTTTCCCCCAAATACTTAAGAATTCAAAAATAAAAGCCCAAAAAGTCTTTCTTATAACAAACTTGTTCTGCCCTTAAAGGATTCTTCTGGAACTATAGTCAATGAAATCATCTTGAACACAATAGTGTTTGTTCTAGGACAGACTTTCTGATTTCTCATTCCAAGACAAAGACTGAAAAATCCAAACCAAGAAATAACTTCTCCCAAACAAACTCTGCACTGTTTGGATGATCCTCTTCTTAACTGTGTTAAAATGCTTGGTGAAGTTATTTTTAACTGGGAACAGAACATTCATTCTGGAAGATGTTCAGTTCCCTAATTTTATAATGAGCAGAAATAAATACTTTTGATGAAAGACTATGTAAACTACAGTACTCTGTCAATACTTGGGTGCAAAATCAGCAGACAATACATTTTATGGCTTTTAGGAATGAAGGTGGAGTCTTAAATCTGGATCATCTGTATCAATGTGGGGAGAAACAGGGTGATGGACACTGTCTGGACAGAGTTTGCTTCTTTGCTTGGGCACAATATTTTCTCATAAATAGTGAGCTTGGGTGATGCCAAATGGATTCTATGGTTTTTATTGATTGTTATTACTTTTATTAAACAATGTTAGCATTATTAAAAAACCAACGAATACTCTTGGAATATGTACATTCTATTAACTGATACAAATCAATCCTATTAACTGATAGAAATCAATCCAGGCTTTCACTGTAAGCAGTTAATTTTCAGGTTGCACAAAGGTAAGTAATTTATATTCCGAACACAACAATCACTTCTGGGTTCAGCATCCAGTACAATTCACAGAATCCTATTATAGAACGTTTTAGCACAGAGCCAATACAAATATGAAAGTACCCTCATTCTAACGATTACTGAGGTGCTAGAGGTGGGTGTCGGCAATGGGGATCCTTCTGAGTTCCACGATTTGGGAGTCAGTCAAGGTGCCTCCGTCCTGGCTGCCTTGACCGGATTCATTATCACTGACGCTGAGACCAGCACCTGCAACAGAAAAAGAATAAACACAAAACCCCCACCTATTAGTCCAGCAAATTCACGGTCAAGTTCCATTAAGTCAACACACGCCTATTTCTACTCTCTTAGTAAAAAGTGAGCTACACACTTAGAATACATATTAATGACACCTAACGACTATTGAACTGTATTTTAAATTCCTCTTGGTAGTTTCCGTAAGTACAGATTAATTTCTAAAGACATGGATTTGTGTTCTCAATCGTTTTTTTCTGTGTCTACATGGTTGACAGGCATAACTTACTCCAAAGAACACCATTTCTTTTTTTTTTTACTTTATTATTTTTTCCATTTGTTTTTATTAGTTGGAGGCTAATTACTTTACAATATTGTAGTGGTTTTTGTCATACACTGACATGAATCAGCCATGGATTTACATGTATTCCCCATCCCGGTCCCCCCTCCCACCTTCCTCTCCGCCCTATCCCTCTGGGTCTTCCCAGTGCACCAGGCCCGAGCACTTGTCTCATGCATCCAACCTGGGCTGGAAAAGAACACCATTTCTTAATTGGGGGGTTATTAAAGTACAAAGAAATCAGGCAAGTTAATTAGAGTTTTTCAGCAGAGGGGGCAGGATTTGCTGTTTGAAAACATATATCCTCCAACCCTACATCTACTGAACCTAGTAGGTCCCTCAGCTGACACTCGGTGTGGGCAGGGCCCTGAGAAAACCATGCATTGACAACACATGGTATCGTATCAGCTTCCAGAAGACACTGGCTCTGAATGACTCAGATCTGATCCCAAGATAAAAATAATTATGTAACACAGTGCCAAAAACAGATCTGCATAGGAATCCCACAAAAGCTAGCTGTTGATTGCAGATAGCGCCCAGAATCTCTGTATTGAGGAAGTGCCACTATTTACTACTTTTTTCACAACTCGGAATAATTCAGAAAACCTGATAGAAGGCAAGACTAACACCTTGCTGTTTTCTTCTGTAATGTGTAAACACACAAACTCTCCCTCTCTCCTCTCTCTCACACACACACACACACACACACACAGAATAGGGATGTGGTCACAGGGTGTGCTGTTGGCTGAATCACCAGAGATTACAGCTCCCAGCCCCACCCCCTCTGCTGGGCACAAGACTGCAAACTAGAAGGAAAGTGAAAAACCAGTTGCCCGGGTAAGTCATACTTCCCTTTCTATCTGAGGTGTAGGAAGGGCAGTTTTGCAGGGCTGGTAGCTGTGGGAAGACAGTGGATTAGCTTCTTCTCAACCTATTTGGAGATGGAAGCAGGAGCCTGCTAAGGATCTCCTTCTAGCCAAACCCTCCCTCTTTTGGGTCTCTGCCCTTCCCACCCTCTCTCTTTTAAAGACTGCTGTTGAAACCCCACTGCCTGGCTTTGCTCCTGTGACACCACACTGGCCTATCTTATCCTGTGGACTCTTTTCAAAGCTCTTCTGCTTTCTTTTGCGTCTCCTACTGCTGTTTGACCTCTGGCGGGCTTGTCTTGAGCCCAGCTTCAAGGCTGATCCATCTGACTCTGGCCTGGCTCTCTAGCCTAAATGTCCCACTAGAGCCACTGGTCACTCCGGTTCCCCACCATGTCATTAATCAGCACTTCAGCCTAGAAGGCTTTTCCCTGCCCCTCAACCCTTCTGCTTGGCTGCTTTCACTCTTCCTATAAATATCAGCTCAGGTAGCATTTCCTGTGCTATCCACGACAACATGATGATTCTCTTTAAAAATTCCTGTTCTTCCATTGCGTTATGTCCCCCAGGTCACAGGACAGTGCTCAGCCACTGCGTGTATTCAGTAAATGTTGGTTGAGTACAGTAATAAATTATGCTCTGCATCTTAGTTCTTGAAAATGCCTCTTTAAATTTTATTACCAGTTCATCAGAATGTCCCTCTGATTCATTCCGCATTCCACTGCCTTCTCAAGAACAAACATTGGTTCCTATTGTAAACTGCATCAAGCCTGGAACTCTCTGCATTGTCTTTCAAGATACTAACCCAGCTGGACTTTACCAAATAGACATATTCCAGTCTTTGCCCATTGGAAAAGTTTTCTCAGTGTGATCAGTACTCTAGACTGGTCCCTGTATGTGCCATGTTAATTTCAGCCAGAGTGTCTTCCTATCCGTCCTTCAAGGCCCATTTCCACATCCTTACACAAATACTTATTTCACTATTCCTTCAAGCAGGGAGCTGAAGGATGCAATGTTAGAAAAGTCCTGGTTTATACCTGAAAAAAATTATTAATCACATTCCATCTACCATCTCAAATTGCCCTGATGTGGATGATAAATTGTATGGGAGTGCTCTATATTGGGTTGGCCAAAAAGTTTGTTTGGGTTTTTCCATAATATGTTACAGGAAAACCAGAATGAAGTTTTTGGCCAACCCGGTATAATGTACATGTAAGTCATGAAGCAAAACATGTGACAAACACCCATGAAGTCCTTCCTCAAGTTAAGAACTACAATATTACCAATGATAATGTGTTTTTAAAAATTTAGTCAGTTGCCATAATTGAAAAATGAATGTCGTTGACAACAACAAAAAATCAGACATGGGATTTCTCTTTAAAAAACAGAAGATGAGGCAGCACTGGGCCTGTATTTCTGGACTGCATAAAACAACAACAACAATAAATACATGGGGTAGGCAGTGCCTTTTGGTTTGCTGCTGCTGTTATCAGTCTTGAATCCCTTATGGGGCTTGACTGCCCCTACATTTTAAGTAATATTTGAGTTTGGCAGACTGTTTTTGAAGGACAAAGGGCCCATGTTTCTCTGCCAGGGAAGCAGAGGAACTGCCCAACTTATAAAAGAAGAACCTCCCAGGGGATCAGTTGACACCCTGGCACTTTATTAAGTGGTGACTGAGGCCTTGAGGCCTAGAGCAGCTTGATCTGAGTAACTCAAGGGTTCAGTTGCCCAACATGGATCAACTCCAGAGAAACAGAAAGGACCTCAGCATTAGTACCAGGGAAAAGTGGGGCTTAATGAGCAGTCGAGCACCAACTCCCTCTGATTTCAAAGGTGGCCTGCTCTAATGCCATTGTGTGTGCTCGGTCACATCCGGCTCTTTGCGACCCCATGGACTGCAGTTCACCAGGCTTGAATGCAACTCCTTGTGACCCCATGGACAGAAGTTCACCAGGCTCCTCTGTCCGTTGGATTTTTTGGCAAGAATACTGGAGTGGGTTGCCATTTCCTCCCCCAAGGGATCTTCCCGACCCAGGGATCAAACCTGCGTCTCCCCACTGCAGGTGGATTCTTTACCATCGAGTCACCTGGGAAGCCCCTCTAAATGACACTAGGAACATATAAGCATCTGCCCAGCATGGCGGCAAAGCATGCTAGAAAGAAATTCGTGAACTGAGAGCCTGTTGAGCAGACTCTGAGGGTCGGGGTACACGGGGCTGAGAGGTTGAACGTGGGTGCAGCCGTACAAGCGACTGGTGTCGCCGGCTTGCCCCGTAGCATGGAGCCCTGGACGATGTCAGCAAGTTCCCCATACAGCCTCCCCTGAGTCACCACATCTGTGTGATCCAGCTCCTCCTCCTTTTCAGTTTCCTCCCAGTTGACATAAATGCACAATACCCAAATCCTAATCCCTCGCCGAGACTCAAGACGGAACACATTCTCCCCACAAGTATAACATGGCAGAACTGGGAACACAGCCCAGGTTTCTTGTCTCTCTGTAATTCATTCAGTGGTCTAGGAAGGTATTTGGCAATAGGCATCCTGACATCCTGAAAAGTATTTTCGTGCTTAAAATTTAAGATAAAAATTTATGAAAAATCCAGTACATGTGATGATAGTAACTCTTCCTCTTGGTAGACTGAACAGGCAATGTCAAAGGAACTACAAGTAACAATTCACATTTATCGAGTCTCTCCTCAACATTTCAACATACTTTAGTTAGAAAGCATGACTAGTCCTGTTTTATAGACATAGAGATTGAGTGGGGATCAGAGGTGTTCACTGAGTTCATGTGAGTCCACGTCACATACAGGAAAATTACAGAATGAAGATATACAACTGGACTTCTGTTTTTAAATTTTACTTTGTTTTTGGCCATGCCATGCTGCTTGTGGGATCTTAATTCTCTGACCAGAGACTGAATCCAGGTCCATGGCAGTGAAAGCCCCTGACCACTGGACTGCCAGGGAAATCCCTATTTTTTTTAAAAAAAACATTTATTTATTTGGCTATGCTGGATATAAGTTGTGTCACATGAGATTTTCAATCTTTGTTGCAGTATGTGGGATCTAGTCCCCTGACCAGGGATTGAATGTGGGCTCCCTGCATTAGAAGTACAGAGTCTTAGTCATAGGACCAGCAGGGAAGTCTCTCCAACTGGACTTCTGACACCAAATGTAGGGTGTTGTCTTTTAATACATCCTATGGTCTCTCTCTCTCTTTTTTTTCCTATGGTCTCTTATATTAAAAAGCAGAGACATTGCTTTGTCAACAAAGTCCGTCTGGTCAAGGCTATAGTTTTTCCAGTGGTCATGTATGGATGTGAGAATTGGATGGTGAAGAGGGCTGAGCGCTGAAGAATTGAGGCTTCTGAACTGTGGTGTTGGAGAAGACGCTTGAGAATCCCTTGGACTGCAAGGATATCCAACCAGTCCATCCTAAAGGAGATCAGTTCTGGGCGTTTATTGGAAGGACTGATGTTGAAGCTGAAACTCCAATACTTTGGCCACCTGATGTGAAGAGCTGACTCATTGGAAAAGACCCTGATGCTGGGAAAGATTGAGGGCAGGAGGAGAAGGGGACGACAGAGGATGAGATGGTTGGATGGCATCACTGACTCAATGGACATGGGTTTGGGTAGACTCCGGGAGTTGGTGATGGACAGGGAGACCTGGCGTGCTGCGGTTCATGGGGTCGCAAAGAGTTGGACATGACTGAGCGACTGAACTGAACTAATGGTCTCTTACGGGGACAGCTCTAACTGTGTGACTTCTTTGTCCCCCAGGTTTCAAGTGTTCACACATCTGTTTATAGAATACATTTCAAACTACTTGGCAGACATTCAGGCACCAACCTACCTCACTATTTTCAAGAGTTATGCTGCAGCGAACACTCAGGTGTTACAGAACACATTATAAACATTTAAAACTGTTTTTAAGCATAACAACAGATAATTTATACCACATAAGGAATTTAAATTCTGCCAGACACTACAGTAGATTCTTCACATAGACAATCTCTAAACTTCATGAAAACTAACAATGAGAATTCTTATGTGATAAATGAGGAAACTGAAAGGTTGAGCTCCTTATTGAAAGTCATAGAAACAGAAGACTGAAGAACTAGGATTATAACACAAACATCTCTGAACTCAAAGCCCGTTCTTATTTTCTATGGCCTTTTGAAATGTGGCAATGATACAAAGGTCATATTCCTTCAATCTGCTTCTGAGGCAAAGAACTCAAAATCTTTTCAAATTCTATTTTTCCACTTTGATCTCCATCTAACTTTGTTTAGTACACTGGAGTGCCTAAGTTCTCGGAGTTAAATAAGTCTTTGTAGTTTTATGTGATGCCTCTGAAAGAGAAATTTATTAATGGGTTCTTTGAGGAATTCATGAATTTGGACCCTGATTCTGAATGTTTTGTGTTCAAGGACTTGGTATTTATCTTCTTCTGACTGAAAAAGAAATCATTTAAAGGTTTCCAGTAAGGAAACGTCTACCATGACATTAGTGTCATTGGTCTGAGGTAAAAGAAGGAAGCTAACGGACTAAGGAAGATGGGGAATCAGGTTTGTCCCTCTGGGAGAAACCCCAGTGAAGAAACACCCTGTTTCAAAGCCCAATATGCTCCCAGCTTGACATTTTCTAGAATCTCGCCAGCTTTGGCTGACATAAAGATGACAGTAATCAAAACACCTCTCATTAGGGATGTAAACAGAGTACAAGCCCCTCCATTCTGGACTCATGCTCTGCGCAGGCGGAGTCTGTTCTCGTTAGCTCAGCACCTTCTCCTCTTCCCTAAAACGGAGGCTGCTCCAGGGTGGTTGTTCTCTTTCTCCCAAAGTCCTGGCTGGAGACAGTGAGGATACACTGGAAAGCTCTATTAATAACAAGACACCACTGAGAACTGAGTGTCTCATTTGCCTGTGAAGAACCTGATGGATTTCTTTTTTCTTCTTTATTTTGGTTGTGCAGTGTGGCACGCTGGGATCTTAGCTCCCCAAGCAGGGATCAAACCTGTACCCACTACAGTGGAAAACTGGCGTCTTATCCACTAGCCTGCCAGGAAAGCCCCGAGGCTGATGTATTTCGAGAACAACTAATTGAAAGATGCTGTTCTCTTTTTAGAGTGAAATGTGAATTTCTCATACAGGGACAAATAATTTACTTTAAAAATGAAAATGGTCAATTGTGTTTTCTTTTTCTTTGTGTTCTTTTTTAAAAAATAAATTCAACATGGCTAAAATTCAAATGGAAAAACAAATCCATGACTGGTTTGGGGGCCAGGGCTTATATTTTATACCAATCAAATGAATTTCAAACATAAACTATATTAAATTAGGACAAAACTCTGTGTTGTGAGTAGAATGGCAATACAAGTTGAAAGAGAAAAGAGAATGATGTAAAATCTCCAACTGTAAAAAAAGTTTAATTGTATGTATTTGAAATAAAATGAATAACAGTGGGCATCAAATTGCTCTGGTACTTAAACCTTTAAACCAACCCTAAAATTTATAATACAATAGAAATGACATTGTTTGATACTATTTAAACTCATGAATGACACCTTTAGATGCTTATTTAGATACATACAAACAGTAACACAGTTTTTCAAAGTTGTTTAGGGGTTCCAATGAGAAAGACTTGGAAGATCCATTGTTCCCAGTACTTGACTTTGAGTGGCCCACAGTTAAGGCAGATCTGAGATAGGTCAAGGTTTACAAACTCAAACATCACAGTTGCAAGGGAGGCTCGTGTGAATCAGTGACACAGGGCTGGTGGGTGCTGGACAAACTAAAGAGCTCACGTCCTACTAGAAGGGCAGCCGTTACTCAGCTCCAATCAAGCAATGCTGTGTTAGATTTTAAGCACTTTATTGGTAGACTTTTTTTTTAATGAAGAAATTCTGGATTTTTATGGGATATCTCTACATTTAAAAATTTTGGCTCCAAAAAATGTTAAAAGTGCAATGAGGTTCAAATAAAACTCCCGGTTAAGCCAAATCTGGCCTATGTGTCAACTGTGAATTCCACTGTGGATAGAGTGGCAGGTGGACTGCTCCTTTGATTTGACCATATTCTATGATGGAAAGCATCTGTGGGGTGGTACTCGATTATTATAGTACCTTTTCTAAAAACAGAGGGAGCCAGTGTGAGAGACTGGTATTTTGGTCTTTTTAAGCATTTACTTCCTAAAAGAGTTTAGTGAACTCTAAGGAATGCTAAACTCAGTCTATAAGTAAGCAAGTCATTCCATGCATTCCTCAACAGAATGCATTTAATACTTGTTATATATATAGGACCCAGATCTAATTTAATTATGTTGTAGGAATTCATTGTATGCTTCCAGTGTCATAACAGCAACTGTCTGCATTGCAATGCCGGGAACATGATCTACCCTGAGAATTATTTGTAACCTGAAAGCCCCCTTTCAGTCCTAACTTGGATGAGAATTTTACACAGTTGCCCCTTCCTCCTTCATGGAACTCTCTTCTCTTTAGTTCTCATGCCGACCTTGCTACAGCGTCCTTTGTAGGACCCTCTTCTATTCATTCTTAAGCCTAAGTATTATCCTGGATGTTCTTGTTTCCTTTCCTTTCTCATTTCTTCCCTTCTTTCCTCTCCGTTTCCTTCCTCACCTCTTTCCATCTCATCTCTTAGCTTCCACTCTTGCAGAGTAAGCTCATTTCTCCCCATAGTTTCACATGTAACTCTGCACGATGCCATTCAAGATCATTACCTCCAACCTTGATCTCTCACCAAGGATCCCAACTTGAATATTTAAGAGCCACCAGGATGAATGATCAAATGATCCAAGTCTGAACTCCCCAGTGTCCACTTGAGAGCAAATAAACAAGCGAATGCTCTATGTATGATTCCCCAGTCACTAGGGGAGAAGCCTGAGTCTTTGCTGACTGTCTTTTCAGTGTTCCCTTCGCATTCCTCTTGTTCTTTTTCTTGCCACTTCCCAGATTTGAGGTTTAAACCATGTTTCTTGGGGCTATGTGAATTACCTCTCAGCTTTTCTGATTTGGCTTCTAAATTTATTCTTCAGACTTCCCTAATAGTTATTTTGCCTCAAAACCAGTGGGAACATGTTGTTTTTCTCCTCAAAAACCTCCATGGCTTACTGAGTTCTATAAAAACCCCACCCCTTAGCGTGGCATCCGAAGAGTATTTTCCATCATGCAGAGTGTCAGTAAGTGTTCTGCCTCCCCAAATGAATCTGTCGCTAAACGTGTTCTGGAAGCCACAGGTGAATGAAGTGAGTTTCTTTAGGACTTTTTAGATCTGCTAAAATGCTCAACTGAATACTGAAACTCTGCAGTTTCCCAGGTTTCTGGTCAGGGGGCCCTTTTCACTGAGCATGTCTGTGAATATCCCAAACAGGGTGCCAGCTGAAACCCAGCTGAGGAACTACAGTGATTTATCAACAAAGCAGGTAAATTACTTTCTAGGCTTTTCTCCTGCTGCCTGACTTCGCTCACTCCACTCCCCATCCCCTGCAGGCCACGCACCTGCAGCCCTGGGCTTTGGCTAATTCTATTCCCTCAGCCTGTAATGCCTTTTCTCTGTGCTTGACTTACGTAAACCCTACATATTCTTCAAGACACAATGGATCAGATTTTTAAAAAATTTTCCTTGAATCCTCAATAATTAATAATAACTCTTTCCACAACTTACCTTACTCTTCTTAATGTTTGTGTGAATGTCTATTCCGCCAAGCAAACTCTTAAATTTCACCTTTCTTTCTTTTCTCCCTTCCTCCCTCCTTCCTTCTCTTTCTTTCTTTCTCTCTCTCTCATTCATTCATTCTCCAACAACATCTACAAAAGGTTTACCAACTGCCAAGCACTGATCTGAACACAAGAATATATATAATAGAATGTACTTTCAAATAACTGTTTCAATAAGTTCATCTGAGCACAGGCATATCTTCTTGCATGTTTGTACATCTGGAAATGTAAAAGTTCACTGAACTTTTGGTAGCAGTGACAGATCAGCATTTTTCTGAGAAAAAAAAAGGAAAAGAAAGAAGTTGCATATTTGATTGGAAAACAACTCTCCATGGGGGTCACAGACTGGTGAAGCTGAATATATAGGAAGATCCAACGAAAGACTACATATGATGGCACTTTAAAACCTGTAGAACTGTACGAGAGACAAATTATGTTGCCTTTTGAAAGTTTCTGCCTCAAAGCTACTCCAGAGGAAATTCTCTTTGGCAGGTCAGAGGCAAAACTCTCTCAGGGAGGTTGCTACCAGATTCTTACAGCGCTGAATTTATCTCAATCGGTGTTCTATCTAGCAAGATTCCAGTGCACAGATATCTACATCGAGTTAAAATATGCCTTTTTCTTAGAAGCAAATTGTCAATTATTTTTAGGTTGTCTCATATTTGGTGCCAAGAACAGAATATCCTAGAATTCGGCTGGGATTAGGAATGGGTCATGGGAATCGGAATGCGCTCAGGGTGACACTGTACTTCTGAAACTTCATGGGAAGGAGATATAAATCATAGCATAGCAAGAGTGCTTCCTTCTAATGGGCTTTGTGGGTTCACATACCAGCTTTTAATGCAAATATCAAGTCATCAAACTCCTGGGACTCCTCATCGGCTATTAGTGAGCCCTGGCCATATCCTCCAGAGGAAGGGAACGTGGTGCCATTTTGTGGGCTTGGCTTTAAGTCCGGGCTGGCCTGACTGGCTTGCTGGAAGGATGCCCTCTCCCAGTCAGGTGGCACCTTTGGGGTTGGAAGAAAAGGAAACCATAATATGAGTACATATATATTTACCCTGAAATCTATATGAGCAATTTATCTCTAGATCTCATTACAAAGACCAAGTGAAAGGGCAGCTGAACTGTTTACAGACATAAGACCTTTAATTTTACCTCTGTTCCTCAGAAAAGTGTGTCTTTTCATGAGCCAATCTAACCTGGTGACACTAAACAATTCCTCTATGAGAATTACTTGTAGATTTCTATGCTGTCATGTGTGGAAAAAGAGAAGTATTTTTTAACCCAATGCATACATTAATTGTTTTTCACAGAATATGTGCAAAAAAAAAAAAAAAAAGCTGTTAAAAGTATAAGAACTAGAAAAGAACTCTGCTAATCTTTAAGATAAAACATAGAATTTTAAATAGAGTAGCTATCTATGAGGATATACTGAATTGAAAAGAAAAGCTCTTTGATAGAATTCTAAAGTCCTCCTTTTTAAAATTTAAATGATGAAAAAGATAGTTCTATCTTGAAGTGAGTAAATATATTTGCTTCCTTTTTGGATACTGCTTAAAAAAAAAAATCCCTTAATCCTTCCTTTCCTAATGCTTTCCCTTCTCTGCGCGGCTTTTCAGAACGTCTCTGCCAGGCCCTCGCTGACAGTTGGAGCAAGGCCAATTCCAAGCTTCTGAGGAATGCAGGGTGCACTTGAGGGTATGGCTTTGTGCTACACCCGCAATGAACATTCAAGTAGCGGCCCAGGCCAGGAACTGAACCGTCACAGCTGCTGCCTCCCAATACAAGGTTCTCTGAGGGACTAAGGATGCCTTGCAACTGAGGAAAGTGATCTGAGGGAGGGATAAGTCAATCTGAGAGAAGAGGAAACCTTAAAAAACTCCCTGAAGCAGCAGAACATCTGGACTAGCACTGTTCAGTACAGTGATGGTTCAGTATGGCTTGGTGGAGCCCTGAGATGTTTTACATCTTTGCTCTCCATTACGATGGCTACTGAGCACTTGGATGCGGCCAGGGTGATGGATGAGTTGAATTTTTATTGTTACTTAAATTTGGCTAGTTTAAGCAGTCACACATGGCTAATAGCTAATGTATTGTATAGTTCAGATCTAGACAGATCTAAACTGGGTAACCAATCAAAGAGAAAAAAAAATTCTTTTTAAAGATTTACTCCTGCACTGTTGATCCTGGCAATATTTGTTTCTATTGTTATCAGCTGTGATGTGAAAATAATTCAGTTTTAAGAACTTTTGGGATATAGAAATGGTACTAAACATCTAAGGGTACTAAACATATATCACAGTCTTTAAATATGATTCTTTATTTGTGATCACTTACCTTAATTTTCACCTAACATGAATAAAATTACTTCCAAAATTAACATGGAAGACAACAAAACATATCATTGAACAGGTTGATTATCTATTTATCTACCGACCTATCTATTATCTGTTTTCTTTTCAGATACATGCACTTTGATTTCTTGATTTTTTTCAGGACACAAACACAAATACTGTTTCCCTTGGCTCTTTAATATAGAGACACTGATAAAAGCTCTGTAAGGAATGGTAGGCAGGCACATCTTAGGCATTGCAGAAATTGTCAGGGGAACCCTCCTGACCATATCTTCCTGGACAAATAACTTCAGGTATGTTTTAAAATACGAGCAGGGCTGCCAGTGCTATGGCTGACACTATTGATTGGTTGGTGGCAATGTGATTTGGACACAGAAACCCAAAATGATGTGGTCAGAAAACAGTGGCAGGTTTGTTTGTCTGCTGGGATTCGAATGGTGAATTGGGATGGGCAAAGAAAGGAAGAGAGCCGTGAAAATATTTTCAGGAAGGAACAGTATTTAAAACACCAATTCTGAAGCAGATTTAGTCACTGCAAGGACAGAGGAGCCCAGCGGGCTGCAGTCCATGGGGTCGTAAAGAGTCAGACACAACTGAGTAACTACAAGCAATGGTCAAATTAGGAAGCTTTTGAAGAAAGATATGACAAATTACGTGCTGACTTTCCAGTACAAACCACTGGTGAGTAGGGCTCAAAAAGCACAGAGGAAAAAGAATTAGATAACAGACATGATACCACAGTAAGCGCAGCAAATATCAGAGATCAGAGAACATCAGCAGGAAAACGACCTGAAAGTTAGGTGGCACCATTTAACTTGTACTCTATAAAATGGAAAGGTCGTGTCTGAGAGAGACAGACAGACAGAAGGAGAAGGAAAAAGGGCAAGGGGAGGCACCTCCTCCATAGCACTGATAAGATTCTGGGTGGACTTGCTGATCTCGCCCCCAGCAGCAGGCATTCCACTCCCGGGGGTGAAGAAGGCGGTGCTAGGTCCTGGGTGCCCATTCATTTCCACTGTGTAGCTGGCCTTCATAGGGCAGCACGTCTGGTTGTGTAGAATGAAATAAACCACAAAAACGTAAAGTCCCTGCAAAAGAAGAGAATACTAGCATGTTAAAGGGAAGCCTGCTACCGTAGCTAAAGAATAAACATGATTGCGAGCATAGCTGCCTTTCTACAAGTATTCTCCAAATTCTCCCCAAAGCCGGGAATGACAGAACGTGTTTGAAGCAGGAGGTCGCTGCAACTTTCTGAATGGCACAAAGGTTCTTCAATGTCATTTGAGAAAACTGCTAACTAGACAATTTTTTCTTAGTTAAAAAATCAGAACTCTGAAATCTAGCTCTACTAATATGTGAATACAGACCTGCAGAGAAATGTGTCTGTCAGATTCACTGTGTACATTTTGTTTTACAGGACAATCTCTTGCCTTTGAAAAAATTACTGTTGTTTTTTTTCCGCACCTATTGCATTCTCTTTTTTTATTTTTTTCTCAGCAAAATGGTGAGTAATGCTCCAGCCACCTTAGAGACTGAGGCAAAGGCAGGACTAATTAAGCCTTCTGCTTTTGTTCATCTATCTCACCTACTTATCTCAGTTGGAAATAAAATCACTGAATAGGGATTCAGTATGGATTGCTTAATACTTAGCATGCTTCTCAGCGAACATCACATGAGGATGACAAAGCTATCTTATGCCTTCTTAAACATCTGCTGGCCCTTTAAATTCTCTTGCAATCTAGTCAACTGGACAATTGCTCTGCTTCCGTCACAGGGAGCAACTCACATTTTGCAATTGTGTTTCAGACATTGCCTACACTGGCTTTCCTTCATGATTTCTACAAGGGGTCTACTGTATACTTTTAATCGTGCTTCTATAAAGCTTGGTAATTTTGACCTTTACACTCAGCCAATAAAATAAGTTAAATTGTGCCTTTTGTGTCTATTAATACTGATGTTTAAGTTTTGGAAGCAAATAAGAATCTCCTTAGTTACTAAAATTCTTATATTAATCCATAAAAATGAAAGTAAGACACACAGCCTGTTAAAAGAAAAAAAAAGGAGTTAATGTCAAAACTTTATAAAACACAAGCTAGTATGGTCAGTTTTGAGGTCTGCATTCTCTCATGGCCCCTAATATTTCTGGCAGTGTAGAAGCAGGAAAGCAAACAATATTGTGGACTTAAGACTTGTACCTGCTGGAATAAATAGTAAAAAGTTTATTAGAAAATCCTCAAAGCACAAGAATTACAACTAACTTTTAATGGAAAATGAAATTAGAGGACAGTCTGAAAGGTAGGAATACTAGCATTTGATCTCTGTTGCCATTTCTGGAATATTGTTATAAATTAGGATTTTCTCCTCTTTGTACTGAAATAACCCCATCCTGAGTTGGCATCCAGTCTATATAATTAATAACTCTGTTTTGAAATCAGTGGTTTATCTGCTAAAATATTTTAAAATGCAATTACTCTAACCATAATACAAAATTAGTAACTGAAACATTAATTTCCTTTTGAATTGGGCTTGTTTTGTTTTTTTGGAAACAACATTAATATTCTAAATTGTGTAGGGTAAGTGAATTAGTTTCACGTGCAAATGATGTTATGCACATTAGCAGAAACAAATCTTCCTGAAAATACACATGTCCAACATTTTTCCTGTACAAGTAATTTTTCACATGGGTATGAGTTAACTATATTGGCCACAGCAATAGACAAAACAGGAAAAAAATTAAACTGTCAGCCTTGAAAACTGTAAGAATGTCACTGATTTATTTCAGGATTTCTCTAAGTGTGACTAAGTGATGGGGTAAAAGCTAGATTGGAAAAAAAAAAGTCCTAAAAATTCATCTCCAAGGACCCATTTGTTAAAACAGCACATTCTCTCTTGTTTGTTTTTATATCAAGCTTTTTGTGCTTCAGAGGAGGAACTATCTGAAAATAACTTGCATGTGAAAACTGCATACGCTGTTTTTTTTTTTTCTTAAAAGCGTTATTTACATATACAGTAAATACTCTGAACCTTTTAGAGTATAACTTGCATGTGAAAACTGCATATGCTGTGTTCTTTTTTTCTTAAAAGCATATTTACATATACAATAAATACTCTGAACCTTTTAGATGTGTATCAGGAAATATAAACACTTTTAAAATGGAAAGAAAATAATGTTTAAATGCAGATTGTATGACAATTGCCTGTGTCCAATCCAGGCTGGGCAAATATAGAAAAAGGACTTTCATTATCCAAAGTACTCAGCTGTGGAGGTTTCTGACCTCAGAGTAAAAACAAGTCCCTATTTCAAAAGCTGTATGTTAAATCTCAGGTTCTCCTTTGAATGCGTGTGTGTGCACGCACGCGTGAGCTCAGCTGCTTAGTCATGTCTGACTCTTTGTGACCCCATGGACTGCAGCCTGCCAGGCTCCTCTGTCCATAGAATTCTCCAGGCAAGAATACTGGAGTGGGTTGCCATTTCCTACTCCGGGGGATCTTCCCAATCCAGGGATTGAACCTGCGTCTCCTGCATTTCCTGCATTGGCAGGCAGATTCCTCACCCCTGCGCTGTATGGTGTACTGTAAAAGAATTTTATGAGAGCATCTAGAATCTCAGTTACTCAATCCAATGTGTTGACTACCCCTATGTGCACTGCCAGGCAATGAGATGCAAGGATAGAACATTTGACTCCTACTCCAAGTTGCTAACAAAGACAATATCCTACCAAATAATAGGTTAACTGTTTCTGAAGCAGGATATATATAATAATTCATCTGTCCTTCCTAGTCTTTATTTAGTGAAAGCTTACAGAGAAGGAGATTCTTTCTGTGTGTTGCTATTTTGATTATTTTACTGGATTTCCTACGACAATGATGAAAAAATGCTTTCAAAAATCTTTAGTTGGATTATATCTGGATTGACCCTCTCTGAATTTATTTTGATGCAGGAATTTAAACTTATTAGCAAGTGCTCAGTGAGACACAAAGGAGATCGTAATGATCTGAAGCAGGAGTCTCCAACCTTTCTGGCACCAGAGACCAGTTTTGTGGAAGACAATTTTTCCACAGACTGGGGCCAGGGGAATGGTTTGGGGATGATTCAGGTGAATTATATTTATTGTGCATTCATTCCTATAATTACTACATCAGCTCCACCTTTGACCATTAGGCATTAGATCCTGAAGGTTAGGGACCCCTGCTCTAAAGGAGTTAATAAATACTCAACATCATCAGGGAGCAAAGAAGTACAGGAGATTTTGGCTGCTTATCTCAGTAATTTATGTTGGCTCCGCATGAGATGGGAAAGAATCAACATTGCCATTTAACAAATTCACCCAAGAAGCAGTGACAGAGAAGTGGGGCAACAGGAAGTTGACCTAGCTGCTTGTCTCCGAAGGAAGTGAAGTCTCAGGGTTTCATGCTGGTTCAGAGACCTCATCTAGGTGTCCCCTCTGAGGACTCAGATGCAGCCCTCAGTTAAGAACAGGTAAGCTTTTTAAGGCTTGTAGAAAGGTCACAGAGGAGGGCTTCCCTGGTGGCTCAGTGGTAAAGAAAAGGCAGGAGACATGGGTTCGATTCCTGATCCAGGAAGATCCCACATGTTGCGGAGCATCTAGGTCTGTGTGCCACAACTACTGAGACTGTGCTTCAGAGCCCAGGAGACACAACTACTGAAGCCGGCGTGCACTAGAGCCCGCGCTCCACAAAAAGGGAAGCCACTGCAATGGGAAGCCCGGGTACCACAACTAGAGAAAAGCCCTCACAGCAGCAAAGGCCCAGCACCACCAAAAATAAACAAATAAATGGGGGAAGACAAAGATCTCAGGAGGGTAACACCAGGTATCAAGGCATAACTAAAGGCATACTGTCTTAGTCAGCAGTCCTTTTTGTCTCTGCCTTTCTCATCCCATAATTTCTCCAGGTTACAGAAAAAGTGGTTAGATGGCCAAGAGGCATGTGAAAAGATGCTCAACATTGCTCATTATTGGAGAAATGCAAATCAAACCTACAATGAGGTACCACCTAACACCCGCCACAATGGCATCATCAAAAAATCTACGAACAATAAACGCTGGAGAGGGTGTGGAGAAAAGGGAACCCTCTTACACTGTTGGTGAGAATGTAAATTGTAAAGACCAGTACGGAGGCTGCTTAAAAAGCTAAACATAGAACTGCCATATGACCCAGCAATCCACTACTGGGCATGTACCCGGAGAACACCGTAACTCAAAACAGACATATGTATCCCAGTCTTCACTGTAGCACTATTTACAACAGCCAGGACATGAAGGCAACCTAGATGTCTGTTGCCCAATGAATGGATAAAGACAATGTGGTACACATATGCAATGGAATATTACTCGGCCATAAAAAGGAACAGAATTGAGTCAGCTGAAGTGATGAGCATGAAACTAGAGCCTGTCACACAGAGTGAAGTAAGCAAGAAAGAGAAAAACAAATGTCGTATACTCACACATATGTATGAAATCTAGAAAAGTGGTACTGAGGAGCCTATGTGCAGGGCAGGAATGGAGGTGCAGAAATAGGGAACAGGCTTTCGGACACAGCGTACTGGGGAAGGAGAGGGTGGGATGAAATGAGAGAATAGCATTGACATATACATACTGCAATGAGTAAAATATGAATAGATAGTGGGAAGCCGCTGTGTATAGCATTGGGAGCTCGGCTGTGTTCTCTGTGATGACCTAGAAGAGTGGGATAGGAGGGTGGGAGGGAGGATCAGAAGGGAGGGCATATATGTATATAATGTCTGATTCATGAGGTTATACAGCAGAAACTAACACAACATTGTAAAGCAATTATATTCCAATAAAACAAAGAAAATCAAATACATTAAATGAACCAACCCACTTAACAGCTGCCCAAGCTCATACCTTTAATTTTATTTGTCTCGAAACAATGTGACACATAAGTTCATTATCTTGTCTGTGTTCTGAATGCTGGCCTGCAAGCACAGCCAGTTGGAGTGAGTGTGACAAACCCCATGCTACGTCCTCCAGCTGTGAGCGTGGACACACCCACACAGCAAGAGGTCTCAGCAAGCCTGAGCTAAATGTGTCCCGCATCCTGACAT